ACCTGGAGTCTAATTAAGCGAACCCTAGAGTCTCTTCATGCATCAGTAATAGAAAGTACTGAAACGTCTGAGTCATATATGCCCCGGGGCAGTCTCTCGAATGTTTTGGATGCTTCATCTAAGCAAGAAAATCTCGTTAACAAGAAACCAGTTACGTCTTTACTTCGACCAATTTACTCCCGAATGCAATCTCGAAGCTTGGTTGCTGGCCGCGTGATTGTGTGGCCTGAGGCTACATCAGCTGAGAATGCAACTCATCAACAGAGGCTGCATCCCTCGAACGCTTGCCTTGCGGGGACTAAAAGAGCGGGCGGAGATTCCGGACGGATCACGCTGGATTTGACCACGAATGCGTCCAGTCTCGTTTACTCGCTCTATCCAGGGCATCCCGTCGTTTTGACGGCGACAAACTTGACTGGACGCTCTCTCACTGCGTTTGAATTTTACCAGGTAAGACCGAAGTTCGTTTAGATAATGACTTTTATAGTAAAATAGCTTCTTCGAGTGAAATTTTACCGATTACAATTTTATAAAAATATATACCTCCTACTGCGCGTCATTTCCACCATTATTTTTCGTGCTGCATACTGTTTCTACCAATGGCATATTTTTACTTCAATTTTTAGCCCAATGTTCTTCCTCTTTTCGAAACTACAAATGGAACATCATATTCCAGTGAGTCTTATTGAATATTTCAATAAAATCACATTTTGACAGACCTAGTAATCACTTACCTGTTTCTACTTTAGACGTGCCAGACCTCCATGTGGCAGTGGCTTGTGGTCCATTTACCACAACTACCTCTCATGATATTTCTCCATTATTAGCCCTGTTAAAGGATATTAAGGAGTATCGGCCTCACGTGCTTATCTTACTCGGTCCTTTGGTTGACTCATCTCACCCACTAATCGAGGTATCTTTCATAACCCTAATTTACCCATGAACTACAGCCAGTGAATGTCATTAATGTCCATTGCCCTTTTACACTAGGAATATCGCGACTCAACCTACGAAGAACTATACCAATCACGCTTGAACACTGTGGCTGAGTGGTGTCATCTTTTGAAGACTAGCGTTGTAATAGTGTCGTCATGGCGGGAAATCTGTGGTAACCCCGTTTACCCGACACCCCCTCCGTTCGGTTCCGGTAAACCATATTGGACTCAAAAGAACCCAGAACTGGTAAGATTGTTTGCAACCAGCTGCCTAGTAAAGGAATTTCGTGCATTGCGAATCGAACTGGATTATTCGAGGGTTTTAAAAAAGTTACTGATAGTCTTCAGTTTCTGCTTCAAGAAAACATCCTATTAATGCCTTTTTAAATGGTCATGCGGATGATGTACTGTGGCAGACTCAAATCCGTTCTTTTGGTATCGCATAATTTTATCATTTGTTGCGACTTTTCAGTCGTGGTCAGTTACTTTTCGCAAATCAATTAATTCGTGTAAAGCAACTACACTAATCTGTTGAGATTTTCCCAATTGTTTTTTTGTTAAATTGTGTCGATGGGTAGACGAGTCAAATTTGTGGTCCATTTACCCTCAGTAATCCAACCAACTGTGCTGGTAACTTGGTTTTGGTTATGATATTAAAATTCGACAACAAGGCTCACTGTTATTCTACGTCAACATATTAGCTTTTTCTAGTGTCGGTGAGGGTGTTTGACACGCTGTCCTCTATGTTTTAATGATGATCTATTATCAACGACACCTAGAAAATGTTTTGGGTTGTACGACCCTGGTTCATCCACTCTCTGCCCGATGATGTGTAAACTTGCAGAATCTTGTCTGCCTCTGTATAAGCGGCAGGAGTTAATTATTTTAAATCTACGATATTCGATGGAAAGATAAAATATATACTGGTGGTACTCTGAAGCACTTTACGTGATTTACCGTAATGTCTATGTGCTACATTTAGGTGGTGTTGGCAACAGATTCAACGTTTATTGTAATTCTTGCAGGCTACCTGGTATGAAAACGTTACGTTCGTTTGGGATCCCTGTACGCTCCGGATTGGACCCTTTGTCATGGGTCTCTCTTCTCCTGACGTACTATTCCAAATGAGCTCGGAAGAAATAAATGCCAAGTAAGGGCCAAAAATGTTGCTGTGTTGCTGCTCTTACATGGTTTGAAGATTTTGTGGACGTAATAATTTATCGCTATTATGGCACTTAAACCGATAAAACCCTAGCGTTAAGTATCTGTGAGCACTGGAATCTCATAATTAGTAACAGTTAGTTCGTGCTTTGAGTCGTCTTTTAATTTTCCGACCAAGTTACTGTTGATTTGCTATTGTTTTAAACAGAATGAACTTTTAGCTAGTTGCCTAATCGTGACATTCAAGTTACTGTCCTTTTCATTGTCATACAGGGCCATTTACTATGATAAAGTATTGCTTTCAAATTGCCCAACACATTATCCCACTTATTGTGCTGTTTTCTAGCTGCACGGGCGACCGCTTGGCCCGTCTCTGCCGCCACGTTTTGACGGCGGCGAACTTTTATCCCATCCATCCTCCCGCCGAGAGCCTCCCCCTGGATTATCCGCTCTGGCAGGACCATGCCCATTTCCCCTCAAACCGCTCGCCGCATTGTCTCGTTCTGCCTTCCCGACTGCGAGCCTTTATAAAGGTCATTTACGTCGCTTGTAGTTAATTCAACTAAGAACCAGGGCCTGAACTAGCAAACCACAAGTTCTCCACTTGTTGATGTTGATTGTAGTTGATTCAAAATCAACAATCTGTGGACGCCTAGTTTTATAGTAAATGTATACACCCACATCAGCAAATATTAAATGTTACTTGACTGTACTCAGCATGCTAGTTTGAGAAAATGTCACAGTAGTACCAGCTCAAATTATTATTATTCTGTAGGATGTCAAATATACCTTCTCGAAAGGTCCTTTTCGCTAAAACACTAACGCCGGATTTTTTTCACCGGACGATACCTAGACAAAATTAGCGTACTAAAATCTGAAAATTATCTCCCACCTACTCATTACATTTTTTTAAATTTGTTTTGTAGTCTGTCGAGAACGTGGTGTGCGTCAACCCCGGGTTAATTACACGTCCAGGTAGCACAGCTGCTGGAAGCTACGCCAGGCTTATTTTCTCCATTAAGGACTCCTCAGCTGACCTTCAAGAATCGGCCATGGATGTAGTCAGCTGGGCGGGTGATGAAAAAACCGCAACGGACTCAACCAAGAGTGGTGTGACCATACTTGGGGAAGTAGTCCAACTGTAGGCCTTCAATGGCGATGAGAATTATGCCTATTTTTGTATCATTTTTGCTAATAATGATATACATGTCAGTATTGCCTTTTGGAGTATTTGTAGTAACTTGTAACTTCGGTGAGCTAAAACGGTCGCCCTTTCATGGAAATGAAACACCAGTCAGAATGGAACCCCTAGCATGCATTGTCACCGAACGCTTCCACACTCTCGTACATTGATTGGGTACGAAACATGATCTTAAAGGTATTGTGTGGTGGTGAATCTCGGAGGCGGCCTATTATGGCCTGTCGAAAGCCAGATATCACTTCAGTCCCTCTGTTACAAAAGAGAACAGTGAAAACAATGTGGGTGGAGTCTTCCCAAAACAGCCTGATTTAATTACTCACCCAGCTCTTACACAGTCCACGCATTTCAAAACGCTGGGAAGCAAATGCCTTTGGACTGCAAACTGTGCCGCTTGTAGATGTTTCCCGATCTATATTTCCAGCCATGTCATGAAAAGGTCCATCCTAAGACAAGATAAGTTTGATAAATGCAGGGAGTTTGTTGACTTCGTGTTTGCCAACACGGAAAAAGTGAATGAAGCAAGTAACATCACTGAGTCTTGCTGGCTGGCATAAGGTGCACCGAAATATAAGAAATAGGAAGCGTGATGTTTGCGATACAAAATGTGGTGAGGTAGATAGGCCAATTTCTTTGGCATTGATTCAGACCATCAGGCCTCATTGCCACTAAAAGAAAAGAAGGGAGTACCTTGTAATTAGCAAATTTTCGTTGGATATGTAAGATTTAGAGATCAACACAGTTTAAAAGGCGATTAACTGAAAATCGAACAAGAACTGCACTGGCTAGGAGTTGGGTGCGCTGAACACGATAGCCCGAAATTGGTGAAAAATTGATCAAGAGTACAAATGAGGACAAAATACAAATTACGACGACCACCAGCCACAAGTTTGGCCGGAGGGCATCCTACAAAACGTGAATGCTTGGATGTGTTCGGTGATACCTGTGTCATGCAGTCAAGACGCGTCACACAGATCCTCCCTTTGGAAATTCCCTCTCTCCTTTAAGGAGGGTTGTCATGTAATGTTTCAGATTGTAAGAACGGCCGGAGCATATTTCGTAAAATGGCGACCTTAGACACGCACACTGAGGTCATTCGCGGGACAGATGCGCACAATGCGCAAACAACATTCGTGTGTCACGCGCGCAGGATCGCGCGAAAACCCAAGATGGGCTTCCTGGTAAAGAAAAGCTGAATCCGCTGACAAGAAGGAGCCTTCTAAGAATCTATGTTTTGTGAGACTTCGATCGACCTCCACTTCCCCCTGAGAGTCAATTAGCATTGTTCAACCTAGCGCATTGGATCGTCACTTCTAAAATGTTGGTGAGCTGAATGTTAATACAGCTAAAGCATTCACTAATCATTAAGAGATTGAGTTACGACACGAATTTTAAGCAAGTAAGGTGCACCTGTGGTCGAAAAGCTAATCAGGCGATGTGTATACCGACACCCAAAGCGATGCTCTATCGCCTTACCCTCAGGTTTAGGCATTACACTGGGTAATCGTCTGGCTTGATTCCGGTGGAGCTAGCACCCTGATATCCGAAGACTGAGACCTGAGATCTGAGGAGGAAACATCCGATGGTGGTGGAACTCCTTCTTCTGGTCTTGGCAATTTTTTCGGGATTGACGTTGGAATGTTCGTGGTTTTTGAAGAGATACGGGAAGCACAAGATACCTTACTCGGTTGAGCTGCATGAGCTACAAAAAGCAATGCAGGACTCTTAGGGGAATTAGTGGCACGTCGAGTTTGCTTACAACCTTCTCATTGACAAAATTGGCTGAACAGTGCAGCAGATACCTCAACAACACCGATCAGAAAGATGTATATTAGGTACGAAAAAGTAAACGCAGCTAAGATCAACGAAGTATGATTGCCACACACCTCAGATTTAGCCAACGTAATTAGACGTGCTTGACGGTACGTTGCACGAGTTCAATTTAAAATGTTTTTGGAATGCAGCATGTACCGGTAGCTGATTAATCCCGCCCAAGGAGATTTGCTCACGTCTTGCTTATACATTTACATTTATGGGGAGTAAAGAATTGTTGCGTAATCCCACACTGTCCGAAAAATGGACCGCTTTAGCAAGGTCAGCCGTCTGACAAAGCAAGGAGGCATAAACAACGTGAATCACGATGATGGAGTGGGGGCGGTGAGGCGAAGAAGAAGAAGAAGGAAAGCCCAAACAATGACTCAATCACCCTGGCTGTTGTAACTCAATTTTGGCCGTGAAGTCGCCTTAAACCATGTGCAGGCTACAGGTAATTAAATATTGTCAAGATCGTCAGTTTAACATGAAGGCGCTCTGCTAGAACTTTAACAGTAAAACGAATCTTTGCAAAAATAGAGTACTCGAATGAAAAAAAAACCAAACTGGAGCAACTACTAGATACAGAGATTCCATTTAATCTATAACTATTGGAGGTGACCAAAATGGCTAACTTTAAAACGATCGCACAAACGAATGAGTGCTGCATGTAATCGGTGCTTGGCATGTCAACTTTCGCCGTAAAGAAAGCGCAGGAGCCGTCGAGAAATTTTGACAAACAGAAAGATACCTGAGAGCGATTTAATGAAAAAAAAATTGTCGCAGGCTTTTGCTAAAAGGATTATGTACAACTGAGATTGTACGTCGGTGAAACGCATGTTCCTAAAACGAACTGAATAAATGTAACTTGGCTTCATTTAAGTATAAGTTGCATACCGGTCCCATGATTTGACTTGATGTGTTTTTTCAACGAGTGCTTTTGAGTGTAGCGTTTGGAACAAAGGGGGCATGAGTAAGCCTTAACACCTAAAGATAAAAAAGGACCAAAGGTCTTCATCAGAGTATCAGGGCATTTGTAATAACTTTGAGTGGCTTTACGGATAAACAAAACACACCTAGGAGTTCATCGTGGTCAAAAGCTGGTGATCACAATTCAAGCACATGGTGCAACAAACACAATTCCCCAACGCGACCACAAACGTCTACCGGTTCACAATGAGGCGCCTAGGGAGCAATCTATCTGGCCGATTAGTTACCTCAAATGAGCTAAGAAACTACGCAGATAAAGGAACTGACAGCGTTCCTACGAGCACATCGAAATGGAAGCGAAAGGGAGTTGGTTCGTTGTTCACTCATGTCAGGGACACAAATCGCAGGCTGGTCTCAGACTTGTCCTCACAAAAACAGTCAGTATATTACAGGGAAAGAGGTCTTACGTATGTACTATTGATCAAATAGACAGGAAAATACTTCATTGGGGCCGGAAAAACAAGGGAGCATTCGACTGATTATATCCATTGACATCTTATACGCAGGTTCGATCGAAAAAGCAAGGATTGTAGAAGAGTCGGAAACCTTTGTGAAAACTATACCTTCATGGACTGTCGTAATGTGAAGACGTAAATAGGAGAGTGTAGAAAATCGCTTCTGACAAATTTCACAAGTCTGCGGCCTGAGACCTAAAAGCACAACTCATTCGCTCAATGTTGAATAATGTTAACTGATTTAAAAAAGAGCTGTATCTGAGAATGCCAAAACCAGAGAGCTAGAATTTTATATCGTTAGGTATTCATTTGATAGAACGCTTGAATACAAATTAGAGTTTAAGCGAATTGGCGATTACAAAGAGCACAAGTTCCATCGTAAAAAAACCTCAAAATAGTAAGTAGAAGATGCATTTGATCAAAGGGAACGTGCTCTAATATTTATTTTAAAAAGTTTGATAATATATTTATAGCTAAAAACCTGTACTGAAACGATACAGAAGAAGACAAAATGCATTTACAAATTAAACCCTTTAAGTATTCACACAAAACAGAAGCACGTGCAAAGAAATAGGCAAACAAACCCTGATGAACTGTTTCCACATGAACTTTGAGACTGGTCTGCCCGGGGAATACTTTTTCGCAAACGGGACAGTTGTGCTTCAAAGCTGTATAAAAATCGATAGCGATGAAAAAGATGATATATTTTAGCACAAGGGGGTCAAATATTTCAATCAAATTTTCAATGGAATTACTTTGAAACTCAAAATTAGACTTAAAAAATCAAACTGTAACTCTCAGGCAATCCTTCCACTTAAAAAGTACCTGTGTTTAATCATGTTGTAGCATCATGCTGTAATCATCCTGTAGCACCACCAACTTTAAGTTCAAAAAGTGCAAGAAAGAGGAAATAAAACTCACAAGGCTTTTTGTCCGTGATTACATTGATCAAGGGATCTTTTGAGCAGGGAGTGGTGACAGGTACCTGAGAAGCGGATGAAATTCTTAATTTTAAATTTTATTTACGAATTCACGGTGCTAAAACTACCATAATTGAAATATAAAAACCAACAAATACGGAAATAATTGACAAAACCTACCCAACCCAATAATTGTGGAGCATCTATACGGAACAATTGATCGAGTAGCTATTCTGTAATTTTTGGTAGTGACTGGAAAGTCGTAATCTTAATTTAGACTTGAGACAAAATCTGCAATCTAAAAAACCTACTGCTCACACTATAAATTAACAACCTTCAAGATTGTAGCACAGCCTTCATACACTTTGTCATCCCTAAGTTTTTAGCTTTTGGACTATAATCTTTGTAATTAAACGATAGATAAATTAAAACCTGCTAATCCGAACTAGCTACAGAAAACGATAGGATTTCAAATAAAAAACCTAATAATGGTTACATTTATTTTTATAAACTGAAACCGCTAACAAAGTTAGGGAAAAAGGATACCACCAACAGGATTTTGGATAGAAGTAGGTAACAAAAGTACGGTTTTTACATACTTGTGTTATTTGGTAGGAAAACATGTGGGGCGTTTAAAATATGCTTGGTAGTTCACTCAAAAACCGGTTCCAAATTTTTTTATAATGACAAATGATAAAAATTATCGCCTACAAGTTTAAAAAGCGAATGTGTAGAAGCTTGCATGCACGTGGATCCTTATTTACTGTTTA